AAAATTACACTGTGCTACAAAAAAAAATAATGAAAAGGGGAATTGTTTATTATATTTTTAAATAATTTGTAATTATCCCCGTTTATATTTGTGACTTGAAAAAATATTTAAATAAAAATCCAGGTTTATATTTCGGACTTGAATTTTTTTTTTTAAAAAATCCATGTTCATATTTCGGACTTGAAATTTTTTTTATATTTCGGACTTGAAAAAATATTTAAATAAAAATCCAGGTTTATATTTCGGACTTTTTTTTAAAATCCAAGTTTATATTTGGGACTTGAAAAAATATTTCTAAAAAGTCCACATTTATATTTGGGACTTGAAAAAATATTTTTAAAAAGTCCACGTTTATATTTGGGACTTGAAAAAATATTTCTAAATAGTCCACGTTTATATTTGGGACTTGAAAAAATATTTCTAAAAAGTCCACGTTTATATTTGGGACTTGAAAAAATATTTTTAAAAAATCCACGTTTGTATTTGGAACTTGAAAAAATATTTTAAAAAAATCCACGTTTATATTTGGGACTTGAAAAACTATTTTTAAAAAATCCACGTTTATATTTGGGACTTGAAAAAATATTTTTAGAAAACCCACGTTTATATTTGGGACTTGAAAAAATATTTTAAAAAATCCACCTTTTTTTTACGGACTTGAAAAAAATATTTTTAAAAAATCCACATTTATATTTGGGATATATTTAAAAAAAATCCACATTTATATTTGGGATATATTTAAAAAAAATCCACGTTTATATTTGGGACTTGAAAACATATTTCTAAAAAATCCACGTTTATAACTGCCCTGGAAACAATCATTTTAAAAAATCCTCGTTTATATTTGAGAATTTAAAAATATGTTTTTAAAATCCACATTTATAAATGGAGCTTGCAAAAAATAGTTTTCAAAAATCCACGTTTATTTATGGAACTTCAAAAAATATTTTTAAAAAAATCCGGTTTATAAATTACACTTAAAAAAATATTAAAAAAAAAAGTTTACAAATGAAATATATTTGAAATATATTTTTAAAAAATCCATGTTTCTCGATGGCCCTTGAAAAATTATTTTTAAAAAAATCCACCTTTATTTGTTGCCCTTGAAAAAATACTTATTAAAAATCTACGTTTAAATTTGGTACTTGAAAAATATTTAAAAAAATACACGTTTAAATTTAGGACCTTAAAAATATTTTTAAAAAATCCACGTTTTTAAATGGTCTTACAAATAATATTTTTAAAAAATCCTCGTTTATTGAAAATTATTTTTAAAAAAAATAGCCCCGTCTTAAGATAGCACTTGAAAAAAAGTTTTTTTAGGAACTGCAAACTTTTAATATGGCTGAAAAAAAATATTTTTTAAAAAATCCATGTTTATAGGCGACACCTAAAAATTAAAAAAAAAGCTATGTTCATATGTGGCATAAGAACCAACACCACCCTCCCCACCCCCAAAAGAAATTATTATAATTATAATTTGTCATGGATTATCAGAAACGATTTCTTCAAGATTTAGTACCTATTTTATATTAAACGTTATTTCCTGGCCCTATTTTATTATATTATAAAAATATTTTTCCAGCTCTTTCAAAATGTAGATTTCCAAAAGATGGAAAAAAATTTTCAAATTTAAAAAAAATATATACTTTTTGAAAAATGATTTTATATATATTTTTTTGGGGTGACTTTTTTATGGATAAGAGCTGCAGTAGCCGTGGATTTTTTCAAAAATATTTTTCAAGTATACCAAGGGCATGGAATTAAATTAAATATATATTTATTCAGTATCTACCAGGATCATGGTTATTTTAAAATATTTTTTAAGGCCGTCCCTACTTGGGAATATTTTTAAATATTTTTTCAAACCCATCTCAGATTGTTGATTATTTAAAAAAATCTTGATTTTCAAGGCTTATCATTTCTTCAATTTTTTCAAAACTATTATTTCAAAGCCAGACATTTTTTGTTTTTAATGCTTGCCATATATATTTAAATTCTGTCATGACCATGGATTTTTTTCAATATATTTTCCCGGTCTGTTATTGTAATTTATATTTTAGAAAAGGTCGAAGGTCGAAATATTAAAAAGTAAAAATATATGTATTTTCTGCACAGAAAGTGAAAGGATAATCCAATTTTGCTCCAACTTTGCAAATTCTATTTTTTGCGACAAAGCTAGGTCAGGTATGAAAACGGACAATATCGGTTAACTCCATCAAGTACCTCCCCCACAAATTTTGAATAATTACTACTCTAAAATTTGATGTGAGAGTCCGATTGTCTTCAAATTTCACACATACCAATACCAATTTTTATAAACCCAAGATTTGGTGTTAAGGTGAAATATATCGGTCCACTGCTTCTGGTACCTCCCCCACAAAAGGTCGAAATTTTGAATATCCACTACGCTCATAAAGCGCGAAATTACAATCCGATTCTCTTTAGATTTAGCACATCTGAATATTTCCATCAACACAAGATCTGTTGTGAAGATGGGATATATTGGTGCACTCCTTCTTGTACCTCCCTCACAAAGGGTGAAAGTTTTGAATAACCAAAACGACCATAAAATCCGAAAAAGCATCCAGCTCTCTTCTCAAATTATACTTATCACAATATTTTTATTAGCCCAAGGTCTGGTGTGAAGATGGTAAATATCGGTCTACTCCTTCCGATACCTCCCCGACAAAAGGTCGAAATTTTGAATATCCATGAAGCTTATAAAAAGCGAAATTAACATCCGATTCCATTCAGACTTGAGACATTGCAATATTTCCATCAACACAAGATCTATTATAAAGATCAAGGAGCCTCAAAGACATGATATTTTTAAAAGGATATTTTTCCACAATCAATTGACATGGACTATTAAAAATATGTATTTTTTAAAGACAAACAAACAGGGATATTTCAAAAAAATATTTCAACAAATATTTTTCCATGCTGCCTCTTTTTGGAGAAAAATTGTAGATTTAAAAAAAAAAAATTCTATTTTTTTTTCCTATAATAAAAGGGCATGGACTCTTAACAAATATTTTTGGATTTTCAAAAAACAAATTTTTGCAAAGAGCCTCCAAATCTGGATTTGATAAAAAAATATTATTTTTATATAATCAATACACAGAAGTGAATTTCTCAAAATATATTTTTTTCATGTGCATCAAAAACAGGACTTTTTAAAAATGTTTTTTTCCAATAAAAAAAAACAGGCTTGGACTCTTAAAAAATATGTTTTTTTAAGTAAAAACAATGTTGGATGTAAATAAAAAAATTGAGCACACAAACAAACTTGGAATTTTCAAAAAATAATTTATCCATGGAACCTCAAAAACAGGATTTTTTAAATATTTTTTTCAAAATAATATAAAGGGAAAGGATTTTTGAAAAAATATTTTTTATATTTTAAATTACAAACAAACGTTGATTTGTCAAAAAAAAATATATTTTTTCAGGGTGCCTTAAAAACAGGATTTTTTAAAAATATTTTTTTTTCCAACGATCAACATTCATGAACTATAAAAAAATATTTTTTTAAAGTACAAACAGACATAGATTTAAAAAAAAAAAATAATTTTCCTAATGTTTTCCAAACCAGGATTTTTAAAAAATATTTTTCTTTCGCAATAAACAGGAATGGACTCTCAAAAAAAATTTTTTTAAGTACAAACAAATAGAGATTTTTCAAAAAACAACCCTTCCAAGTGGCCTTAAAACACGATTTTTTAAAAGTATTTTTTCCCATAACCACGTTGATTTTTTAAAACTAATTTTTCAAAGGTGCCTCAAAACCAGGATTTTTTGGAAAGTTTTTTTTTCATATTACTATGGCTTTGATTTTTAAAAAATATTTTTTTTTTAAGTAAAAAGTTTTTGAAGACCCTGAAAAAAAAAATTAAAACAATCCATTGTCATGGAAAGTTAAATTTTTATAAAATGTCTCAAGAGCAGGATTTTTTTGGAATATTTTTCCCCACAAATAAACAGGCCTGGACTCTGAAAAAAAATATATTTAAAAAGTACAAAAAAGTGGATATACAAAATATATTTTTTCAAGGTTTTTCAAAAACAGGATATTTTAAAATATTTCTTTCTTTTTCACAATCGATGCCTTGACCTTAAAAAAATATTAGATATATGTAGATATAAAACAAATATTTTTATTATATTTATTTTATTTATTACTATTTTTTGTATTTTATGCGGTACTTCAAATTCTTAAAAAAATTTTGATTTTTTAAAATATTATTTTTTCCAAGAATGAATAAATTAAAAAATTAAATTAAAGAAGTTAATAAACTGTGATATCTTATAGCAAGGTTAAATAGAATTTCATTTTTAAGAATTATTGTTTTTAATTTATTTATTTATTTATTTATTTATTATTATTATTATTATTATTATTATTATTATTATTATTATTATTATTATTATTATTATTATTATTATTATTATTATTATTATTATTATTATTATTATTATTATTATTATTATTATTATTATTATTATTATTATTATTATTATTATTATTATTATTATTATTATTATTATTATTATTATTATTATTATTATTATTATTATTATTATTATTATTATTATTATTATTATTATTATTATTATTATTATTATTATTATTATTATTATTATTATTATTATTATTATTATTATTACTATTATAATTTTTTTTTTTTTTTTTTTTTTTTTTTTTTTTTGAGTGAGATTTGGGGGTTTTTCAAGAAATTTTTAAATTTCTGTAGAATTTCGATTTAAAATAATTTTCTTATTAGTTTTTCAATAATAATTGTAGCCCAGTGTAATTTTTTGTTTGCTCATTCTCATTTCATTTATAATTCTTAACTTACATTTGTATAATTATATTTTAACACTAGTCATGTTTTTTTTTTTTTTTTGTTTTAAATAATTTTTCACTTTTTCTCTGCTTTGATTTTTTTTATATTTATATTCTTTTGTTTTTTATTTTTTTAATTTTTTTTTTTTATTTAATTTAAACATTACTCACGTCTATATATGTATGTATATGCATTTATCAAAGTGTTGGTAATTTAATAAAATTATGTAAAACTTACGTTTCCATTAAAGACCATAACGACCTCAGCATCAGAATTAAAGCCAAATAACCGCAGCTGACATGCAGCTGATGATGGTGACGGGGATGATGGAGGTGGTGGCCGTGATGACAAGCTGATGGATGCCAGCGCCGGTGATGATGATGATGTTGTACAAAGCCAGCTGCTGCTGGCCAGCCGAGGAACAGACTCGTCGTTAATCTTGTGGCCGACGAGGGCTTATCCTTTGACCAATCGTAACCCTTTGGCGTGTCGCCCATCAGTTTTTGTTCAGATTTATCAATTTCATTTAAATTTGATTGATATTTAATACCCACTGTATTTGCAGGAAAAAATGGGGGAGAGAGAGAGAGCAATAAAAAAAAACGAAGAGGAAACTATGAAAGCGGATATGAAAATATATATTTCAAAATCAAAAAGAATCCACAAAAACTTCGGTTGGTGGAGAGGCAGGGGGGTTGGGGAGAGGAAACCTAATTGTATTGCCATCAAATGTTTCAATATGCTGCGTTGGCATTTTTTGTATTTTAAATTTTGCCATTGGACAATTTCCTCTTAACATCCTTCATCCCCTCTCCACCTCCCCTCTCAACCAAACGGATGGGAGTTTTTTATTAACATGCCCATTTCAAGTATGCCAAAGGGGGCTTGACAAATTCTACTGGGTTTCACTTTTATAAAATGTTACTCGATTTTTTCCCCAACACCGTCTGTAGGTATGTCTGTGCGTGTGTGTCGGGGAAAAATATCTGGCAAAAAAAAAAAAAAAAAAAAAAAAAAAAAAAACAACATCATTGTCGGAAACTTACATTTATCGATAACAATCACCGAATTTGTTGGCTCAATGCCATTGTAGAGCATGTCGAATTCATTCATTGTCGTTGTTGTGGTAGTGGCCAATGTGGTAGTGGTGGGTGGCGGCAATGTGGTCGGTGGACTCGACACTGAAAAGAAGGGGAGAGAAAAAAAGTTGTAACAAAATGCATTATTCCGATAAAATATTATTTCATTGCAAAATGAAAAGAGGTCCTTAACATTAAAATATACAAGGATAAATCAGGCCACGAAACAAGGACGAATATTTTTTTTCAAGGATCAAAAAAAATTTCATGTTTTTTTTTAAGGGGTTTAAAATAGAGGATTTTTGTGAAAAACATTTTTTACCAAGGTTCAATAAAAAAGGATTAAAAAACAATTTTTTTTAAGATTTTTTTTCAAATTTTTTTAAAGGACTGAATTGTAAAAAAATATATATGCGGATTTTTTAATATGTTTTTTTCTTAAGAATATGTCTATTTTCTTAAAGGAATATTTTTTCAAGGGCTTAAAAAGAAACAAAGAAATATTTTTTAAGGACTTAAAAACGTGAAATTTGAAAGAATTATATGTTTTTATAACCGAAATATGTGGATTAAAGACTTATATTTTCAAACTATTAATGGAAATGGATTTTTTAGAAAAAAAATTTGTCAAGGTCTCAAAAACTTGAATTTTTAAGAAAACATTATTTTTTATGAATCTTAAAAACATGTATATTTTAGGAAAATTTTTGTCAAGGTTTTAAAAACGAGAATATACAAAAAAAAATATATTTTTAAGGACCAAATATGTGTGTGTCTTAAAGAAATATTTTTTTCTAGGATTTAAAAATCGTAAATTAAAAAAAAAATATTTTTTCAAGGACCAACAAATAAACGTGGAATTCCCAAGGAAAAATTTTTAAAAAAATATTTTTTTTCGAAGATCAATAAACACGAATTTCTAAAGAAGTATTTTTCCAAGGATTTTTTTTTTTGCCAAAAACGAGAATATACAAAAAAAAAATGTATATATTTTAAAGGACAAAAAATGTGTGTGTTTTAAAGAAATATTTTTTTCAAGGATTTAAAAATTGTAGATTTTAAAAAAATATTTTTTTCAAGGACCAAAAAAAAAACGTGGAATTCCTAAAGAAAAATTTTTTAAAAAATATTTTTTTTTCGAAGATCAATAAACACGAATTTCTAAAGAAGTAATTTTCCAAGGATTTTTTTTTGCCAAAAACGAGAATTTACAAAAAAAAAAATATATATATTTTTAAGGACCAAAAATGTGTGTGTTTTAAAGAAATATTTTTTTCAAGGATTTAAAAATCGTAGATTTAAAAGAAATGTTTTTTCAAGGACCAAAAAATAAACGTGGAATTCCTAAAGAAAAATTTTTTAAAAAATATTTTATATAAACACGAATTTCTAAAGAAGTATTTTTCCAAGGATTTTGTTTTTGCCAAAAACGAGAATTTACAAAAAAAAAAATATATATATATTTTTAAGGACCAAAAATGTGTGTGTTTTAAAGAAATATTTTTTTCAAGGATTTAAAAATCGTAGATTTAAAAAAAAAATGTTTTTTCAAGGACCAAAAAATAAACGTGAAATTCCTAAAGAAAATTTTTTTAAAAAATATTTTTTTTCGAAGATCAATAAACAGGAATTTCTAAAGAAGTATTTTTCCAAGGATTTTTTTTGCCAAAAACGAGAATTTACAAAAAATATATATATATATTTTTAAGTGCCAAAAATGTGTGTGTTTTAAAGAAATAATTTGTTTTCAAGGACATAAAAATCGTGGATTTAAAAAAAAAATGTTTTTTCAAGGACCAAAAAAAAGTGTAATTCCTAAAGAAAATTTTTTTAAAAAATATTTTTTTTCGAAGATCAATAAACACGAATTTCTAAAGAAATATTTTTCCAAGGATTTTTTTTTGCCAAAAACGAGAATTTACAAAAAAAAAAAATATATATATATATATATTTTTAAGGACCAAAAATGTGTGTGTTTTAAAGAAATATTTTTTTCTAGGATTTAAAAATCGTATATTTAAAAAAAAATGTTTTTTCAAGGACCAAAAAAAAAAAGTGGAATTCCTAAAGAAATTTTTTTAAAAAACATTTTTTTTCGAAGATCAATAAACACGAATTTCTAAAGAAATATTTTTCCAAGGATTTTTTTTGCCAGGACTTAAAAATGTGAAATTTTTAAAATTCATATTTCTGAGACCAAATTTTGTGGATTTTTTAAAGAAATCTTTTTTTAAGGATTTAAAAAACATGGATTGTTTAGAAAATATTTTTTTTCAAGGACTTTAGAATGCAAATTTTTTTAAAATTATATTTTTTAAAAAAAATTTAAAAAAAACAAAATATATGAATTTTTCTAAGAAATATTTTCTTTGTCAAGGACCAATAAATCTTGATTTCTGAAAAAAAATATTTTTTTCACGAAATAAAAAACGTGGGGTTTTCAAAAAAAAAAAAAAAAAAAAAAATTTTTCTCAAAGACCAATAAACGTGAATTTCTTAAAAAATATTTTTTCAAAGACCTAAATACGTGACCTTCTTAATGAAATATTTTTTTCAAGGGCAAAAGTATGTATATATTTTATTTTAATTTTTTAATAGCATTTTTTAAAGGACAACAAATTATCTTAGTAGGGACCCTTTGGAACCCCTGCCCATTAAAGCTGAATTTTGAAGTAAACAATTTTTTTATGATCAGCAGGGGGGTTAAAAACTTATAATTCTTAAGACCTTCGAGAGCGGCAATTTGTTGATTTGTTCAAGGACATCGAGAGCCACAAACGTGGGATTTCTTGCAGGACTTTAAGCCAAGAATCTGGATTTAGAGGACTTCGAAGATCTCAAGCGTTGATTTTTCAAAGACCTCGAAGGGCCACAAAAGAATTTTGTATGAGCCCAACACAAGCATTTTTTCATGTACTTCAAGAACCCCCAAATTGGGTTTTTTTCAAAGCTCTTGACCTACTTACATCTTCTTGTAATTATTTTCTTATAATATCCGTGTCTTATCAAATAATCCTTAAACATTATTAAAAAAATCACGGTTTTTACTCTGAAAGTCCTTAGAAGAATTTTTTTCTCCGAAATCCACGTCTTTGGGTCGGAAAATTGTTTAGAAAAATTATTTTAAAAAATCCACAGTTGTTACTCTGAACGTCCTTTAAGAAATTATTTTTAAAAATTTTTGATTTTTAATCTCCTTGAAGTAGTATTTATTTAATCTACGTTTTGTGGTTCTCATTCTCAATCTGTGTGACATTTGATACATTTTTTTTACAATGCCATATTTGTTGGCTCATAAAAAATTATTTAAAAAAAAAAAAATACGTTGCCTAGTCCTTGAAAAAAAAATCGGATACAATTCTCGCCCATGAATGCATTGAAAAAATATTTTTAACAAACATCTATATTAGACAAAATCTTAAAAAAAACACACACACAAATACTTGGATTTTTAAAAAACTATTTTTTTTTTCAAGGACTAAGAACTGTGGATTTTTAAAAACGATTTTTTTTCTACGTTTGAGAAAAAAAAATAGTTTTTAAAAATCCAGACTTCTTAGTCCTTGAAAAAAAAAAATAGTTTTTTTAAATTCCATGTATTTTAGGAAAATATACATATTTTTTTGTTCTTGAGAAAAAAGATGTACGTTTTTTTGGTCTTAAGGAAAAACATTTAAGAAAAATTAAGAAAAATCGCTTGGATTTTTTTCAATTTTTGTACTTGTCTTAAAATATAAGTTTCTTGGTATTTGTGAAAATTCTATTTGAAAATTCTGTTTTTTTTTTTTGGAAATCCAACTATTTTTATTTTTTAGAAATTATTATTATCATTATTTTTTTTTTTTTTTTGAAAATCCTTGAATTTTTTTTTAATTTTTGTAATTGTCTTAAAATATAAGTTTCTTGGAATTTGTGGGAATTCTGTTTTTTTTTTTTTTTTTTTTTTTTTTTTTTTTTTTTTTTTTTTGAAAATCCAACTATTTTTATTTTAGAAATTATTATTATTATTATTTTGGTTTTTTTGAGAATCCATTTATTTTAGTCCTTTGAAAATATATTTTTTTAACGAATTCACGTCTTGTAGACCTTGAGAAAAATATTATTCAAAAAATTTACTTTTTTAAGTCCTTGGAAAAAAAATATTTAAAAAAAAAACAAAGTTTTTTTATCCCTAAAAAAAGGTATTCCATTAAATATTGGTACTTCCTAGTCCTTCTGTTTAAGAAATCTATTTTTATTGATACTTGAGAAAAAAAGAATAATAAATTCACCGACTACGAATAATCCTTAAAAAATATTTTTAAAAAAACCCGGTTTGCAGGCCTGCAAAAATTATGCTCTATAAATTCAAAAATAATATTCTTGGTCTTTAGAAAAAAAACTTTAAAAATCGTGTTTTTTTTCTTTGGCAAATATTTTTTAAAAAAATATCATAATATTCTTAAAACATAAGTTTTCTGGTATTTTTAAAAAATATTATTTCTTACAATCTTAATTTTTTAGTCCTTAGAAAAGTATTTTCTAGGTTGTTGGACAAAATATAACAAAATCAACCATTATTGACCCTTAAAAAGAATATTCCATTTGTTAGTTCTTTGAAAAAAAAAATCTGTTTAAACCTACGTTTATTAATCCATGAACATTTTTTAAAAACCCATAGACCATCAACAATCTTAAATTTTTGTTTTAAATCACGTTTGTAGGCTTTTAAAAATTATGCTCTCAAAAAGTACAAAAAAAAAAATTCTTGGTCTTTAGGAAAATTATTAAAAAAAACAAGTTTTTTCTTAGATAAATATTTTTTTAAAAAATATTATAGTATTAAAATATTAAAAAAAAATCATTATATATAATATTTGAAAAATAAAATTTTTTTTGGATCTCGGGAAAAAATATTTATTTTTTAAATATTATAATATTCATAAAACATAAGCTTCTTGCTCTTCGAAAAAAAAACATTTATTAAAACTCCAAAGTTTTTAGTGCTTGAGAAAAATATTATTCAATAAATATGTTTCTCTAGAAATATTAAATTAAATATTTGTGTTTGTTAGTCCTTGCCAAAAAAATGTTTAAGAAATCCATGTACCGACTATCGCCAA